CACGCATTTATTGGATTCAATCTAGAGTCTGTGCTAGGTTCATTATTTACACATGTTCTGTTCGTTATTGTTGATGCAAATGCTATGTTTTGATGATTAATATTTGATGCCGGTAACCAATTAAAAGTAGGTGTATTCGTTGGTTTCAATTTTCCGTTGGCCTTATTGTAAGAAAGAAAGTTTGCATTTTTATTTTTTGCAAAATAATACGATGATTGGCTATACGTGTAATCATATACAATTGCACGAATTTTAGGCTCCTTTAAGCTGAAAAAAATGCATACTGTACGGAGGAAGGGATGTTGAAAATTTGAGTGTGATGATGCAGTAATGATGTCAGAACTCGAAGCACTTGTGATTGTGCTATTACTCTGAGAAATTGTGTTGTGTGATGTTTGTAATGATATCAGCTCGCCTGCTCCGCAGTTTTCATCAAACTGTTTTGAGAACATAAATTCGTCATCGGTCTCCCAATCTCCATGATCTTCTCCATTGTCAGATATAACAAGACATTGAATTGAAGAATCTATTGACATACGTTGCTTCCTATTATGCAAATACTTCGAATTACAAGTTCGATCACTCAAATTATAATATTCAGGATCACTGTCGTATAGAGCCTCTCCAACGGTTTGAAACTTCCAAATGGGTTGGTAAATGTCTTCTTCCTTTGCTTTTATTACAGAGTTTCCTTCAGTGGGAGACGAGTTATTTTTTTCATCACAAAGGCTATGATTATTTGAAATCTTGGTTCCAATGTTCAAATCAATATCTTCATTTTTATTATAATCATAGTTGTTTAGTTTATAGTTTTCATCCAGATCTAAATATTTCCCTTGAGCTTTTCTACTTCTTTCCAACGTTTCCTTAGTTTTTGTACGTAGAACTACTTCGTCATTGCTTTTCATACATTTATTTTTAACCGTATTTTGTGTCGCACTTAATTGCATACTCTCATTCTCATTAACAAGAAAGTCGCTCTCCAAACTACTACTTTGAAATGCCATTGGAATAAATTTCGTAACTTGCTCGCTCACTGTGCTGTCAATTGGTGCTTCACCATAAATGTTCTCCCCTTGTTTATCATATTTCCATAAACCTCTATGTCGCTTTACTGACTCATTCAGTACAGCCCATAATTTAAATGATATTTTAAAGTTATTATAATTAGACAGCACCTTCAAAGCACGTTTAACATTGAAGCTCCACGGATTGAAATTATAAAGAAGCCAATCTTGAAACCAATTAAAGTACTGCAGTCGATTGGAACACAAATGCAAGACTTTTGTATTAAGACTATACGATATTAACACATTGTTAATTAAACGCACAAAGTTGGTTTTTGGATTTTGATTGTTCACTTCGTATATATTAAATGAATTGTTGCAAAATTTTCCTTTAATTTCGAAAAAATAACCGTTTATTTGTTTGGTGTACTGCTCGCGTGCTTTGTTGTACGTATTGATCATTTCCGATTTTTCCTTATAACTTCTTTCACATTTTTCTTGGTTAATTTTGATTTTAGTTCTTTCTTTTGATACCCCTCCACCACCTAGCCAACCACAATGATAGCACTTGCTTTTGATCACATTGCAAGTTGAAAAGCAACTAGTTCGACCTTTTTCGGCGGTAACTGTTGAGAGCGGTTGATAATTCATTACCGCAATCTGACTGTGTTCGGAGGGCCATTTGGTTCGCTGCAGTGATGATCGTATTACAGAGTTTGCTGCTGATAATGTGTTGAGCGAATAATTGGAATGCTCAACAGATGTTTGATACTCTCTCTGTTTATGAAGTATACATTTTGCTTTGAGATTTTGTTTAAATACATCCACCATTGTCTCAAAACGATTTTCAATTTGCTTACTAATATGAATATGACTTACTATATTATTTGTAAATGTAGAATTTTCTTCTTCTGCGTTTTTATCAGTGGTCGTCAAATTAGTCATTCCTATATCTAAATAGAGGGGGGAAACAAAATCGTACATTTTATAACTTGAAGCAGCATCCGAGTATGTGTGCATCAACACGCTTCTTGATGGAAGGCTCTTAGGAATACATAAACCGTAATCGCCATCATCAAATGATGTACCATGACTGTAATAATTATGAACTTGTAGACGCAGCAATTCCAACCAATAACAAACGCTTTCAGACAGTGGAGTGTGAAGCGTTTTATAATCTGGTGTATTAAAAGGACGAGTTGGAAAATGTTTTAGAATTTTGGATGATTTGGTTAGTTTCCTCGAAGCAGATGAAGATACAATAGAACTTTTGTTGTAAACGGGGCCTAGATCTCCCTTTAGGAATTCATGGGGTTTAGACGCAGTATGATTACAAGTCACTTCTAAAGGAATTTTACCAACAAAATGTTCGCTAAATTTTAATCGGCCGTATATATGCTGCTCTCTCCGGAATGCATCGTAGGTCGTTTTCTTTTGCTTAAAATCGAGTATTCCTTGATTACTAAATACGTTATTTGATGGGAAAACATTAGGGCGTTCTTTAACGTTATACATTGCCTCCATCCGTTTGTGTTTTTTACTTGAACATTCTTGTTTAGGTTTTGAACTTTTCTTCAATGACCCCAAAATTCCATAGAAGAATTTAGGCTTATTCAAATTCTGAAAATACAATGTTTTTTGCTCTTTTTTCATAATTTCAAGTTTTTCTTCTTTTGATGTTTCCATGAATTTGTCATGTCTTATGCAGAATTGACATTCTTGAGTATCATATAAATTGGAACAACAAGAACAAATATTTTCATAGATATTATCCTCAGAGTTCACATGATTTTTATTTATTTTTCGCAATCTTTCGGATTTGTTACTTTCGTGACCTTTAACCAAACATATACAAAAGTCACACAAGTAATTATTCCCTTCAAAAATGCCATAACCACATCCACGACACAAGTTTTCATAGATAATATCATTATTTTTCGCTGTTCCAAATAATTTTGTGAATAGTAGTTTTTGGCTTGATAATTCGTTAGGTTTAATATTGTCGTATATTGGCTGCCTTTTTTCAATCAGCTTCGAATTGAAGTCATATACCGTAAAATTAAATGCACTTTCGTTTCCATAGCTATTGTCTCCATTGGCTCGAGTGTTTTTTGGAAAAACCATTTTACCATACACAGTACTATTTTCCTTGTATTTTGCAAAGTTTGGACTGTTCTCATACATAGTAAAGATCTCTTTTGATATTTTGCATTTCTGAAAGAAATTTATTAATATTTATAATTGCTCACTTTTCCTTCAATGCCGTGTATGTATAATTATGCAAGAGAATGTTAGAATTAAAATTAATTAAGAATGATAAATGAATTTATATGCATAAAGGCATAAACACCATTTCATGTTAATACATTTGCACTATGTGCATATTAGGGTGTTAGATTGTTTTTTTCTTCTCGAGTACATACTTAAAATGTTTGTATCTTATATTGAACAAAAATTGCTACAAATTTTATCCGGGTTTTATATAAATAAATTTCATATCTGTTTTTATTTTGTTTATTAAATAATTTACATCTCTGAAATAATTCACTTGATGAATGTTAAAATCTCTTGCTCCATCAATTCCTTTCAAAAATATGTGATATACGAGAAAAACAAATTTGATCCTGGTTTTAAATAAATAAATTTCACAAAATCCTATTTGTTTTTATTTTGTTTATTAAATCGTTTACATCTCTGAAATAATTCACTTGATGAACGCTAAAACCTCTTGCACCCTAATTTTTTTTTCAAAAATATGTGATGTACGAGAAAAACAAACAGGTAGTAGGTAGTTATGGGCTCAAATTTTCAGATTACTTTTTAAACATAAAAACACAAAATTTGGGTGTGTCGGCGAAGAAATAAAAAAAGGACTTTAAATGAAACGTCCCAATGTACATATGTATATGCATATGTATGTACCTACATATATGTATACATACATAGATATGACTTACTCAACTAAGCCGCACCCAAAGCTTACTTCTAATTAATGTTTTAACGCGAATGTGAACTTGCAATATAGACGCATAAACAGTAATTAAACATATGACAAATTCGTACTAAGCAGTATAGTTTTTAATAACATATAATTTATTATATATTTTGAATGTATGTACATATGTACGTGAAGAATTTAAGTGAAATTTACTTTTTTTTACAAATCCAGAATTTTGTTCGATGAGTTGCGTATATTTTGAAAGCGAGAGGCTAACTGAAAGGCTTGATCTGAATTTGGAGCCACGCTGCAGCACCCAGTCTCAATGATGAGCTTACAAATACCACATACGAGGTGTGTTCAAAAAGTATCGCGAATTTTGTGTTTTTTAAAAAATTATTTATTTATTCATGAATATCTATTTTGTCCCTTCAAAGTAATCACCATGAGATATTATACACTTGTGCCAACGGTTTTTCAGCTCCTCCTTCGATGCCGTCTTTATCTCGTCAAGAGAAGCCTAACGTCGTCCTTTCATGGGCCTCTTCAGTTTGGGGAACAAGAAAAAGTCACAGGGGGCCCGATCTGGGGAATACGGTGGCTGTGGTATCATTAGTGTGTTGTTTTTGGCCAAAAAGTCGCGCACAAGCAACGATGTGTGAGCAGGGGCGTTATCGTGGTACAAAAGCCAATTTTTGTCACATCTTCTCGGCCTTCTGAGAACATTTTGTACCACCGATAAACGTTGCTTCGGTCCAAGGTAGCTTCTCCGTATGCCACAGTCAACATTCGGAGTATATCCGCGCATTTAATTTCGTTTTTCACACAAAATTTGATACAGGTTCTTTGATCCATTTTTTTGAGTAGGTAAAAATCGAAGACGATCCAAAACACGTGCAAGCAAAGCAGCTGTCAACAATTAAAAGAACATTCAAAATGACCGAGCTTGTCGGCATAAGTGAGAGACATGAGTACCAACATAATAACACGAAAAATTCGAATATACGTAACCCGCGAAAATTCAAAATTCGCGATCTTTTTGAACACACCTCGTATGTATACGAACAAATTTCGTTTTCTTTACACACAAATAATAATTGTGCAATGAGAACACTAGAGAAGTACCAGCGTCAATTTTCTTATTCTTTTGCTTAAATGTTTTTCTCTGACAATGTTATTATACGCGAGCTCAATCTGATACCCATTCTCGCAAATGGAAGCATACGTGTGGTTGTATACAATAATGATAAAGCACAAGATCACGCCCTGAAAGTACTGCTATCTTTTTGTTTTTACTGGACAACCAGCTGTTCGCAACGTGACGTCATAAGCGAAATTAAAGTAAGACAAAAGTTAACTCTGGCAAAAGGAATTAGCTCGGTTAAATTAACATTTCTGAGTTCAAACAGAAATGTGAATTGTAGGGCTACAGAAAAGTAACGGTGGATTTTTACACTTGCACTCAAAAAAGTGGACTCTGCACCTTCGCACTCCAAGCCAATGAAATTTTGCACGGGATTTATAGTCGTTCGAAAATTATGAGGCCGCTGAGCAAAACTCAGCAGCATTAATAACTGAAGATAATGGAGTTTTTAAAGTGTCTTACAAAGTTAACGAACAGATCGAAAAGGATTTCAACAACCGAAAATGAGTTTTCCGAACCAGTTGAAAGCAACAACACTTTAATAAAAAGGTAAAACAATAATGATACAAATCAGGTGATAGATCTCATCATTATGTGCACGATAATGTTCAAGAACTATGTAGGTTGCCTTTTATATTTCGGAGAATATTTTGAAAAACAATAAAGCGATTTTCAATTATAATTATAATTTTGTTTTCTAATCCCGAATTATAAAAAATAACCCGCGTATAACTAATAAAAATAAAATTAATAAGTCCCTGAGACATTTCGGTTACCTTTTTCGAAATTTCACTGTATTTCTTAATTTAAGTTTAATAAAGTTGTGTATGTATCTAAATGAATTCAGTTTCAAGACTTTGAAGTTTATTGTTTTTTCGCAATATTACCCAAAATACTCTTGCCTTTCGTTTATATATGAATTTGTAAATATGTATCTATGGTAAATGCTGAAATCAAGAAATAAGTGAATAATTGTTTTCTTCAAATTATTAAATTGTTACGGAATTTGACATAGTTTCTGCAGGCAATTCGCCTAAAGCTTAGTTCAAATTATTCTACCTATATTCTGATAGTTTTACTATATTTGACATACCTTTTGTTTTCTACGCTTCGTTGTATCAGTATGACAGAGAGGGAAGTTTTATGTGAATGAGCCTTTAAGTTCGGGGGTAATTAAACATTTTATACTTTCGCAATTTGCAGGTATCAAATCCAAGGAAATACTTACAAGTTTACCTTTATATTGTTCCCCATAAAAAAAGTAAAATAATATTCATTTTAATAAAAATAAAATTTATAATATTAGTATTTTAAATCAATAAATTTATTTTTATTTGTTTTTGCTATTGGGTTACAAGAACACTGAACTTAGGATACCATAATTGCTGTCATTTGCTTTGGTAAGTTTGCAGAATATCCAATTGTTTTCCAATTCTCAATAATCGTCTTACTTAAATTAATTATTTTTAAACTGAAAAGAAAAGAAAAAATAAGTCTATGCAGTACCAATATGCAATATGCAATATGCAGTACATATATCCATATAACTTGTATATTAAAAAATTATTAAATTTATTAATCGAAAAATTTTCAGTATTATGTAAACATTCCTAGACCCAAATGTCGCAATATTAAGCCCTTAAATCCTGTTTCCGACGTCAGAACTCAACGTCCGGTTAGCGCTTAACTCGTTGTTGATTTGCACTTTTAAAACATCTAAAACCTCTTATAATCCATCATTGTGAAAAGTTCTATTCTGTTAGGACTTGGTTAAATAATTATTTATATTTCACACTCTTAAACTTTTCTACTAAAAATAAGAAATGTGATAAATTTGATTACATATTTAAAGAATGAAATTGAAATACAATGCCAGAATCGCTTCAGTTTCAATTGCAACATTTTCTGATTTGGAAAATAAAGTGGTGTATTTATACATCCATTTGAGAAACTTGTTGACGTTGCTCCTTGCTTTGTTAAAAAATTTTATGAAACTGTCTCTATCACAAAAATTATTGATGTATATATCAACAATAAAAACAATTGTTATAGTTTTCGTGGTAATTATTATTTAGTTATATTTAGTTTTTGTAGTAGTGAGTTCTGCCATTACGTATGAGAAATGTTTGATCCGTTTCCACGACAGCCGGGTCTACGTAACTGGAATGGACCCAGATTTTTATCCAGCCAAAGACTGTCACCGCGGCATCATTTCTGAAAATTATTTCAGGAAGGTTTTCTACCGCAATTAACTCTGCTTTCAGTATTAACTCAGTTGCCGTATCAATCTACAAATATGCCAAACCTCATATTGAAAGACTTTCTGACCGTGTGAACACTGAAGCCACTTGACACTTGTCGCTCAAAAGAACGTATCGAGAAAGGCTTAAATGCAAAATATATAGAGTTTCATATATTTATGTACATGATCAGGATGACGAGATGTGTTGAAATCCTATTGACTCTTTGTCTGTCCATGAAAGTGATTACTTGAGGAAAAATTGTGATAACTTGCGGAATCTTTTCTTAGGAACCCTATCCGCCCTGTGAAAATAAGAGAATTCGGGTTTTATCCCCGCCCACTTCTCATATAATGGTTTTGTTAAAAACTACTAAAAGTGAGAAAAATCTATAAATAAATGCTCTAGAGACAAGAAATTTTACACCCGAGATGAAAGACGTGACACTGCCTCAATTTTGGTGAAAACCCATATCTTGGGACTTACTTGACCGATTTTAACCAAATTCGCTAGGTAATACTATTCCGGGTTCAGAGAATAATTACTTCCATCTGATTCTTTCACTTTCCAGTATTCATCAAAATAAATTCGTTGAGATTCGCTACTTTATGGCAAAAATTTTTCAAATCGAACCAATATTAATAAAACACCAGATACCGAAAATGTGGACTCCAGTTCCTAATGCGAACTCATCTGTAAGATTTATTATAGAAATGCGGAGAGACCCTTTTTCTGATAATAGTATGCCTGTATGTCAGAAATTAATTGAATCGAATCAGTTATTTCTTAGCCCTTTATTATGCTTAATGTAATGATTTTGAGACTTCTTTCTGACTTTACCCCGTATATGTATCTGAATAAAATTGTTAGAGCTAATAACGGTGCATTTTTGGCCTAAAATGTCTAAAATCAGCCTTAAACAATTTGGGGATGTATCCTCATGAGGGCTGAATTTACCAACTGTTGCCAAAGATACCTTCTTTGCCCACCCTGGCGTTAAAGTCGCCAAGCACGATTTTAACATCCTAAGGTTGACAGCTCTCATAGGTGCGTGCGTCGGGGCGTGGGCACAAATCAGCGATATGTTGAAGAACTTCGCTTTGATGCGGATCATGGCTAGACGTTCATCAACCAGTGTGAATCACAGTACTCGGCGACGGAGTCTCTCTCCCATCATGAATCCCTCTGACAAATGTAGTAAATCCCACAAGGACCTACTCGCCTTAGTCCTTGTCCCGACCATCGCATTTCTTGGATGGCGGTGATGTTAGCCTTTATTTTCACGCGGACATCAACCAGCTGKGCAGCGGCATCTTGCCAATTAAGGGACCGGACATTCCAGGTGCACGCGCTCAAATCGTAATCCTTATTTCGTTTGCCATGGTCGTCATCAAAAGGGGATCTCCATGGCAGTTTTTTTACTGTTCATTAGGGCCTTTTTTACCCAGCGTACAACCCTGTTTCGCCTTCTTACTTTAGCATATACTCCATAGTATAATGATTTTCTAACAAACCTTATGCCGAATATACTGGCCAGTGTATAAATGTATATTTATAAAATTGCTTAAAAATACATTCCAGAGTATACGTGAGTAATGTCAAAAGTTTGATTGTAATCCATCCCGATTTCGTCGAACATATACAGATTAAATTCTTTCGCGAAATTTTTTAAATAAAGTTTTACCAGGCACCTGGAGGTATTTCCTCGGGTTTTATCCTGATAAGTTGCAAAGTATGAAATGTTCGGTTACACCAGAACTTAGCCATTCCTTATTTATTAATTGATTAATGATTACTGCTGTAGACTATTACATGACTTTCAGGAGAATAAAAAACTTTGTGATCCACTGAGAAGGTAAACAAACAAACTGAAAAAATACGTACGGAATATATCTACCTTAAGCCACTCGTGAATTAAAAATTTTTAAAAGAACATTAAGAGTTCATCAGATATTTTACAATTTTTTGTCCATTACCTGCATATGAACGATTTGGTTCCTGACCGAGCCAAAATAAATATTCCTAACTATGTTTACAAACGCATATTGAAGAAAAAATTGTTTTGTTAAATATTTACCTTTGACATTTGGTTGTAGTATATTTGAACTTGCATTTTGGAGAAGGCATTCAAAATTTAGATATTCAATGTTTTCAACATCATTATGACATCATTAGATGCTATGCATACTGCTTCGTGACCTTAACCCTCGCAAATGCAAACAAACATTCTCACACACTCTGCACTGGAATGAACCTAAACAGCGAGAGCGCAACTTTTTAACTCTCAATATAATATCTCTTTCAATATAAGTAGAATGGATTTTACTTTGGGACACTAATAAAATATTTCGCATTCGGCAATCGGCCCTCAATCGTATTCACCTGATTTCACTAGGTATCTACTCTGCTCATGTTTCAATGCTATTTAAACATGCAATGACATTTATAGTTTACAGTACTCACCGAAACAATTGTTTTATGATCGTCATTTTGGTTTTACAATTTTACTAAGTCATATTTAATTGATATTATCTATTACCGCCATAAAATTATTAGTTGCAAACTAGTATTATTTGAACGATAATACCATATACAGTCATGTCTACGAACATTAACTATTTTGTGAATAAAATATATTCATCGGATTTCAATTTCGATTTAATTTATGTTATTTGTAACTTCAAATGACCACGTCTGGTTTTATTCACGTTTAAAGAACAACTAATACTAATAGTTAGCAAGTTCAAGCAGTAATCAAAATTTAGTATAAATATAGCTTACACACCTCACAAATACAAACAAAGATAGGCATGTTAAAGAACAAACGAACACGCAGCCCGACTCAACTTGAACTCAAAGTAATTATTTAAAACTGGTCGTGAAGCTGCGCTTGCTACTAAAGTCTTTCGTTCGTCATTTCATTTGGTTATACCCTCTCAATCACCTTTACGGACATGGTGTCTTTCGCACTAGATTTTATGATTTTTAAACAACAAAAGGCGTCAAGTTTTTATGTTTATGGATTGGTGTGGTACTTAATACTTCTTTAGTTTGAAACATTGTAACTAAGAGTTTTGCAAAAATTGCAATATGAATATAAAGTCGTTTAATTAAAAATCAAATATATGGTGTAGTTTTTATGTAATTTTTGTTCTTCCAGATATTTGGTGATTTTCAATTTCCGAACTTAGTACCCAGGGAATTCCAATATGCCAGCGTAATTGAAAAATTTAGAGATAATAAAAAGAAACATCTTCACGAAGTAAAACCAGGGATATTTTCCAAATATAAAGGTTATAGGCAATCCAGTTGTTTGTCCATCGACACATATGCGGAAAATCACATGAAACGATTTTACACTTTTGCAACATGTTATTAGAAAATAGTATATGTTTGTGTCGCCTTTTTTTAAAATGACTTTTAATCAATTCAATTAAGCCTCCACGACTTCCTTTGGAGGTATAACTGAATACGATGAACTCATTTTACGAGTACTTTTTCACTAAAATATTGCGGAAGACCAATTACCTCAAATAACACAACAAGAAGTGTTCTAACGGTGTTAAATCGCAACTTCTTAGAATCCATTCAAAGTCACAATTTTTTCTGGCGTTGTTGTTGGTATTGATGCTGATTGCAACATAGATGAAATTTTTCTTACAATGAAATTCGTAGTAGATTTAACCCTAAGACATGAAAGATCAATAAACAAACATTCAGGGAAAAGTAATTTGCGATCGATCTGAGGTCAACAAAAAAGGGAAGGATGTGAATGAAGGGTTAGACTTTTTTGCGAATAGTTCGAACTTTTGGGTTTTTATTTTTACAAATAAATTTTTTTCCTAAAACTTGGTGGAAACTTACGTTGTTATTTCCCAAACAAACTGCATTTTGATACTCTTGCAACCAGTTGCCACAGAGTATTATAGTTTTTTTCACC